GGGGGGGGGGGGGGGGGGGGAGGGGGGGAGGGGATTAACATTTCTCCTTCAAGTTTTGGTCAACTTTTTCATCCTGGGGCAAAAATTTTCATATCAACTCCTCCACCCTAGGGAAATTCCGTAGAATATCCAAAGAACTTATTTTAAAAAGTCATGTTAATATCGTCAAACGTAAGAGACTTTAACATTAGTGGAAATCTGTTCAATGATGAAGGTAAATGAAATGGTTTTAATTTCAAATGGCATCTACCATGATACAGAGGGGGCACCGCCAGAATTCAGTTGTGGGTGAATTGACGCATTGGGTATGGTACCATTCAAAACATTGCTCACACTCAACCCATGAGATGTAAGGAGCATTGGCAACTGTTGGTTCCTCTTTACACGATTCAAATCACATCCAAATCACTTTACTTGACGCCAGCAGGCGAAAAAGCGATCTATCGACTGATAGTGCAAAGAAGAAACGTTGTTATAACATAAAAGATCGGAGAAATATGGTAAATATAAACTCGTCACTCACCTTTTCAAGATCCTGTGAACGCCCACCGATCTATACGAACGCACCAAAATACCAGGTTTGAAGGTAGGTTTTACGTCGTGTATGGTACTTCTACTGTCCCCGTCGACCTAACGTTGACAATCTTTCCGACCCTGGGGCAACCCAGACTTGTCAAATTCATGACCCAGGGGAGCCAATTTTATGTCAAACCCTGTGGGTATACCCCCCCCCCCCTAGGGGAAACCACTGACAGGTGCATTACGCGCGCAACGCAATTAGGGGCCGTCCAACATTTCCTGTAGTGTTCTAATTTATTATGTGTTTCTCATGACGCTGTTAATTCACGAGAACATTTACAAGAATTATTTACGGATTAAGCCTGGACTGCTCTTAACTTGATATCGGATTGATAGCAGAAACCCCAGAATAAATTTACGCTGTTTCACGTTCAGCGGAATTTGATTGATTGAGGATAGTTAAATCCAAGTTTCTTTCAACTATGAAACCTTATATTACGTTATATAATAGCCTGCATTCTCAATTTTACGAACTATATTTTACATATAAACGGAGACGTAAATGGTATTGTAATTAAGTTGAAAGTTATCAATAAAACAGGCAAAAGAGTCACTAAACTATACAAAGTATTATAATATAGTTTTGTAAGTAAGGCCTAATGTTTTTTACTGTGCTAGTGAATTATCTATAATCACCAACCCTAAGTCTCTATCAGCAAAATCAATTTTCAACGATTTCTTATATTCCGTAAGAAGAATAATTAGGGTCAGTTGGATCTTGAAGCCGTTGACGTGTTGTACTTTCTTGTACTTCATTTGAGATGGTCGCTGTAGAAGTAAGTATTGGCTCATGGTGGCAAGTTTTTTCGGAGTCAAAAATTGGCAGGAGGAAATTATGGCGGCCATTCCACTGAAAACCCTTGAAAAACAATAAAGACAGGAAATCACAAGCCACCTACAATCCCAGCCAAAAGTAGTTGGGACACTTGA